AGTTAATTTGTTGCAGTTTAATTCAAGTATTTAAGTAAATTTGATAAGCTTATTATTTTAGTTTGATTGCACTAAAATGTATACAATATTATTTTATTAATTAAATAAGTAATAAGAAAATCTAAACTCAGTAAATTTAATCATTCTAATATATTTTTTTTGGTTATAAAATAATTTACAATTTAATATTATTCAACATTATTATATTATAAAATAATCTTGTTAGTATATAGGTTGATTACTAGAAAAAATCAGACTTTAGAAATTTTTAACAAAATTGAAATTACTATTGCATTTTAGTTTTTAATAGTTTAAGTGATAAAAATGATTTATATTATACTAGATATAAATTAAATTGAATCTCCTCAATAAACAAAATTTAATTCTTGACCTGAAATAGAATGAAAATGTTATTTATTTACAAGTAATGGTGTTTTTGTTCAAGAAGAGAATAATACTTTAAGTTCAGTTTTATTTGCTTACCTTTATTTTTTTCTTGAATTCTAATATAAAATAATAATTTATTAATAAGTTATTATTTTTTTTAATCTCAACTCATTCAACTTTTTTTCTTAATAATAGGCAAACTTGAATTAATTATTTCAGGATATATATATTTTTAATGAAATTAAATTTAATATATAAATCTTCTTTGTAGTCAATTGAAAAAAAAAAATTTAAATTTTAATAAAATTTTTTGTTGATTCACTTGACTGATCACAGTCATGTACTGTTAACATTACTCTATCTGTTAAATAAATTAACTATAATTTAAAGTCAGGGAGATAATAGCTATGACTTAAATTCAATCAACTTAATATGATGTAATTAGGGGGTTCATTTGGTTAACATAAATAAAATTATAAGTTTTATATTTGCAAAATATTAATGTTGTTTATTATTATTATTAAATGTATATTGTATACAATTTTGAAATCTGTTTTTTTCCCAAGACACTTTCATGTTCTTTATATAAGAAATTACAATTAGAGAAAATTTATAGTAGTAATGATACTATTAATAATAACAACAGAGCTAACAGATATGCTAATTATATTAAATATGAAATAAATAATAATAATAGTAAATATAATAGAAATACTATAAATAATATATGTATCATATTTAGCAGATATGGCATATTTGATATATATGTTATATTTAATAGGTTCATCAGTTTTTGCTGATTTTAGCACTCAAATTTTTATTAATTTTAGTTTTTAAGCTAATTTTCTAACTTCTTTCCATTATTAATATTAGAATCATTTTCTTCTTTTTTTATTTTCAAAATCAGTTAATCATATATTTCTAATAGGTATAGGTAATCATTTAATTAAATCTATTTTTTAAATTATTATTAAATTTATAAAGGATGACTAATCATACATTTATATTTTTTTAGCTTAATTTTAAAACTTATATTCGATTTCAGTAACTTTAAACTTTAATAATTTCTTCATCAAATAAAATGAAAATGTAGCTATCATTTATTACCTCTATGTAATCTTTTGACTAACTTTTTATTCTAATTCAAAATAATAATAGATTTTAAATATCATTTATTTATCTTTAAAAGAATCATATAAAGAAAATTTTAGCATATTTTTAATCAATTTAATATAATTTAGTTGATCATTTATAGTTTACATTTTCAAGATGTAAATTCTGTTTCACATGCTTTTATTATATGAATAAAATTATCAAAAGTTTCAAAAGTAACCTATACTTATAATTGAAGTATTTATATAAATTAACTTTTATATTAAAAAAGATGCAATTTGAGAATATTTAATAAAATGATTATTTTTTTATTATTTAATTAGTAATGTATAAATCATAATAATATTAAAATTTAAAATAATAATTTAATTTAAGTTCTCTTTCAGAAAATAGTTAATTTTATTTGTAAGTTGATTTGAAAGAATCTAATATTAAGTTTTCTAATTATTTTTTATTTTTTTAAAAAAAATAATTATTCAAATAAAAAAAAATAAAATAAAAATGATTTTAAATAATTTACAAAAATACTAAAAAATTCAAAAATAAGAATTAAGAAGTTAGAACAAGTAATAAAAGTTTAAGATCAGAATTTAAATATTTTAAAAAAAGGTTAGAAAGAGTAATTAAAGTTAAGTAAGAAACAATTAATAAATTAAAAAAGAAGAAATCAAAGTTAAGCAAGAAGTTATTATTAATTTAGAAAAAAAGGTTAGAAAAAGAGAAAAAGTATCTAAAGAAAAGTAAGAAATGATTAATAAATTAGAAAAAAAAAATTAGAAATCTTGAATTAATTATTTATAATAATACTATTAATTGACGATCCGGATAAGATCAGCATTATGTGATTATATAACTAATAATAAAATTTGAGGATATTAACCATATAAAATGTAAAGTCTTCTCTGAATTTAACGTGCGTAACTAATATTCATTATAATAAAGCACAAATAATCTTGGTTACTCATATAAAAAAGTGAAGAAACAGAAAAAAATTTAGAAAAAATCTTTTCATTGCTATCAAAAAATGATTAGTTGTTTATAAAAAAGGTGGAGGAATTGAAAAAAAAATTTGTAAAGACTTTTATTAGTACTTATGCTAAAACACCATTCAGTTATAGTTAGTTTAGTTAATACTAGCTTAATTATTGAAGAATTTCACTATGGATAATACTCCCGTTACTGGTGAAAAATATCAACAACAAATAAGGAAATTACAACTCACTTTCCTCTTTGTATAGGTCAAAAAACAAAAACCTGTCTTAACAATCAAGATTTTTTTGTAACTATTATTGCTGGTAATAAAGATGATGTCATGCTACCTGGGTATTTATGTCAAAGTGGTATTTATGTAAGCCAAACAGAAAATAATCCTTCTAAAGCCGTTTCTTTATTATATACACAAATTTTTGTAAATGAAACTCGATTTTTAGGTCCTTTGATATTGAGATGATAAGATGAGATCATGATTGACCAACTTTTAAGTGATGTTTTGTTTATTTCTATTTTAGTTTCTATCAATTTATTGAAAGTATTTATATATAGAATGGGGTTTCTTTACAAGCGAGTTGGTTTAATGCTGATTCTAGATATAAATTATCTCTTGTACATAATTTCAATGGTAACAAATAGGCTATTTATGTATTTTAAATTAAAGATGATAAATGTATTCTTGAAATTTATCAAGATGGTTAGATGAAAAAAAATTTGAAGATGAATCACCAATTACTGTATGAAAAGCTTTAGAACAATTAAAAAATATAATGGGAATCTACTCTTTAGTCTCGAAAATTCTTTTGTACAAACTTTTATACATCAGCATACAATACCTATATGTATTCCTAAAGATTGGAATAACATTTTTATTATAGAATCACTTTATAACTACTATTTGAAATGAAGGATAATAGCTAATATTAATTGGCATTAGTTTTTTTTTGATTGGTTTGAACAAGAAAATCCCATTATTGAAATATACTCACAATTACAAATAAGATACCAAAAATACCATCAATTCAGTGATCAAGAATTAAGAACATAGCAGTCTATATTACAAACCGCTAACAGTCATAATATAAATCCTTGGATACATAAAGAATTAAAGGTAATGCATTTATTATTTAAATTTATCTAAAATAATATTGATATTGAAAAACAATTTTTTATTAGTATCAATTTTGGTCTAAATCATCCTAATCTGAACAAGATTGTGCAACACTTCAATAACTTAGCCAAATGGATTTTCTTACCAGTATTTCTATTCATATGCCCAATGTAACTAAAACATTTAGAAATTCTTTTAGATATGCATTAGATGATAATAAGAAAAACTGTGATGATAAATGTAGAGTTTTGTCAATTATTGCAGATAAATTTACTTACTTAGAACTGGAAACAAATTTAGATGTAAGTAATTTCTAAATCAATAGATTTATTTGATAACAAATAATAATTGATCATTAATTTATATACTAAACTAAAAGGTTGGAAGACATACCATTTCTGAATCTAGAAAACATGCATAAATTAATAGTTACAGTTAAAGATGGCACCTCAATTAGTTGCAACAGGTGACAAATAAGAATCACAATGTTACAATGAATTGCAAAATTATTAAAATTTAAGTTGCAACAGGTAACAAATAAGCGTCACAATGTTGCAACGCCATCTTTAGTTACAATGCACCACTATTGATAAAGCTAATTATTCACCGTGTTAAGCTAAAGAAAGAAATGTTAAGCCAATTTGAATTATTTTTTGCAGATAAAAAATATGTAAATATGAGCTTTTACAAGACTGATAACAAAAGTGAATTACCTGTATTATATCTTTAAGATTGTAAACAGGCATTATGAGAAAAGTTTCATAAACAATATCCTGATAGCATGCAATGTACATCATTTATGATGCATTTAGAAGGAAGGCATTTTCAATATAAAGATGATCTTGGAGGATTGTGTATAACATGTATTGAATGTGGCTATTTAATTTTTGACGAAATTGAAAATATTATTGAAATGAATATTATGGATTCAGGTATTCAGGTAAATGATTATTATATAAAAATTATAAAATTAATAAATGCAAATAATTTTTATATCAATAATAGTCTATCTAATATGAATAATAAATAGAAAGAATTAATCAATGAATCACAAGTTTTAAAACGATATCTTTGCAAAGATTTTGCCAAACAATTACAAATTGATGCTATAGGTAATGCTATTCATGTTTTATATGTGAGTCATTGTCTTCGATATGCATTTAGTGATTGTAATTAAGATCATTCAAAAATCTGCCAAAATTGTAAAAGTTTATTTAAATTTTTTAAAAAATTGCAAAATAATTTGAATGAAGTACATTATCAATCTCTTGAAGAATATAAAAAACAACTAGTATCATTTATGTCACATCATGCTCGAAAAACATATCTAAATACTCAATTAAATTCAAAACTTTTTCAATTTGATTTAGATAGTGTCTTATTGATTGTGGATTATAAAATGAAAATTCTTCCCAAAAGTGCAAGAGAAACAAAATCCAATTTTTTTGGAAAGCGTAGTTAGAGTCTTTATTCAATACTTATTTATATGAAAGATTCTGAAACACATAATATAAACATTCAGGCATTTGATTACTAGTTTAATGATATAAAACAAGATGCTTGGTTCACTACCTCTTCACTTCATAGTGTAATAGAAACTCTTAAAAAAAACCTACATGGGTTACTATCATTTCTGATAACAGACTCCACTATCACAATACTGAATTAATTAATAATTATCCTATCTTATTGAAAGGAATGGTATAGAATTAGCATAAAAAATTGGACATTTTTGAAAGCAGGTGAGGCAAAAAGTGTAATAGATTCTTATTATGTACAGATAATAAAAAATATATAAAATTTTTTAAAATTTTGAAAAGATTATGATATATTTACTAAATGATTTTATTTGTTTATAAGATAACTCATGCAATCAAAAGGTATGTAAAACTAGGATACAATATTACTTTTGGTAAAAATATTGAACATGCTATCAAAGATCTAGTAGGCACTTATGTAGCAAATATCCAACCTAATCGTTCTCAAGGTTGGTAATTTATTTATCAAAATCAAAAAAAAATAATTTGAATAAAATATATTTTTATATCTAAATAGATCGAAAAGGTATATTAGACACTATTTAAGGAATTACAAATTGGGTGAAATGGACTTGGCCAAATGAAGATAATAATGCAGGATATATTTATGGAAGAGTTCTACCTGGATTTGGTTTATAGAATAAGTTTTCGCCTAATAAGATACAGAAAATTACTAAAAAACGAGTTTTTGTTAAATTAAATCTAATAATTACTCAACATGCAAAACCAAACAAACCTTAGACAATATCAAGTATCAAAAAGAAGAGTATAATTTTTATTATTATTTCATTTTAAAATAAGAAAATTCTTGTATTGATTTAATATTCATTAGATGATAATACTAAAATTAAAAAAAAATAAATCAGTAAGTAGTTTCTAAATAGATTTTATTTAACATATGATAATATAAATGATGGTAATAACTAATCAATTTCAAGAATGCAGAATTTGTTGACTTAACTAATCTGATATCAACAAATATCATTTTAGAATCAAAGAGATATATTACTCTTTATGAGTAATTTACTAGTTGTAAAAATTACCAATATTTTTCATATTCTTTCTTTAATCATGAAATATTTCAGAAAGGGTGGGCTTTAAAAGAGAATCAAAGGATTAAAATACCAGTGAAAAGAATAATACCTGAAGTAAAAGCATTGCTTAAATGTATGTTTCACACAGGAACAGCTAACCCTAGATAAAAGATATCAGCTCAAGAAATGTGGGATGAATTGTTGTGACATGAATATGAAGGAGAAATTAACCTAAATGACATTCCAAAGAGTCAATTATCACTAATTGGATTACAACTTTTTCACGCAAATGAAAACAATCTATAGCTTTAAAAATCATAGAGAAAGCAGAAAATGCTTTAAAAACTGAAACTTCTAAAATTTTTCAATAAATATAATTAGCTAAAAAATATCATAAGTTCAAAAAAAAATTGAAATAAAACTAACAGAAAAAAAAACTTGTAATGTCTAACCATTTTATGTCATTTGATTTCTTCTGTAGTGAAAATTGAAAAAATTACATATGTTTCAACGATCCTGATTTTAAAAGTTATTTCTCATTCAACCAGAAGTTGAATTGGGAGGTTTTAGACCAGAAGTTTATTTGAGTAGTATTTGATGCACTTATTATTAGTTTGTGTGTTGGTATTCAAAAATACTAACTACTAACATCTAATAATTTACAAAAAAAAAAATTACTATTATAATTTCAAAATAAATATTGAGTCATATTTTTGTAATAGCAAATGTATTTCAATAAAAAATAAAATAAAATAAAATGCTAAAAAGCATATAAATAAACATATTACCAAATATTATCCTTTGAAATCATGAAATTGAAAAAAGCAATTAAAGTATAAAGACCTAAGAATTTGATATGCGTATAAGTAAAAGTCAATTTTCAATCAATAAAATAAATGTTTTTTTGATGGTATCATTTTATTTATGCATTTATGCAGTAGATTATATGGTAAAATGTAAAGCTATCAGATTTTTTTGTATATTAACTATTGATGTCTTTTCTTGTAACATTTATACTACTTTAATAAATTGAATAAATTTTACCCTGAATTGTTATAATTAATTAGTGTTGATCTTATCTGGATTAGCAATCAATAGTTTAACTATTATAGACTAATAAGGCTTACATGTTAAATACTTTAGGCAATTTA